GTAGATTTGGAGACTATTTTTTGACATAGAAAGATGAGAAAGAAAGGATGGGGAAGGGACGGTGAGAGAGAGGTGCAAGAAAAAAGAGGAAGGGAGCAGGGAAAAGAGGAAAAGATGGTGGAAAAGAGGGAAGAAGGAGGGAGAGAAGGAAGGAAGGAAGGAAGGAAGGAAGGAAGGAAGGAAGGAAGGAAGGAAGGAAGGAAGGAAGGAAATGAGTCTATTGGAGCAATCACATTGAAGCTTGACAGTGAAAAGGGGGAAACATAAGAAATAATTGGAAAGCACAAACTTTAGAAATAGTTGCTGAAGAAGCTAAATGCATTAAGATGGGAAGAATGGAACAGCCAGGACACTGCATGTTTATGTATTTTGGCTAGTTTTAGAATGGGATGTTCTAGGCATCACAAACAACATTATCAAAGGGTCACCTGGAATGTCATTCAGGGTGCAGAACAGCCCTAGCAAAGGCTCATTTTTTTCACAACATTATAAAAATTCAAGGCAACTTTTCAGTCAGGTAGTATTTACATATTTCCTTGGTATCATGCTGGGTAAAGAAGAACTATAATTAAATGGTATTTGGTCCCAGTGTTTAAAGAATATATAGTTCTTTTGTTTGTTCATTCAAGATTATTATCCAAATAATAATGAGAAATGATCAGGTCCACAAATACAATTTTGTATAGTAACTAATAAGTACATTCTTTTAAGTCCACGAAGGTAAAACTGTCACTAAGTGGAATGAGAAACTAGAAAAAAAAATTTTTTTTTTGCATTCTTGGGCAAATCATCTTATTTTCTCTACAATGTACTAAAATTGTCTATGATCTTATTTTTGAACACACAGAAATACAATGCCTAAAATACAAATATGAATATAGTCTACTTTTGAAAAAGTTAAAAATGTGAGTATTTCACTACTTCCAACATGGAGACATACTGATCCCAAAATAATGCAAAACAGTTTTCACAGGTTCTGAGTGTCTGACTTCTCTTTTCTACCAAGTGTAAGCAGAATGTTCAGTGTGTGAACACCTGACAATTTGCTGCCTACTTCTGGAGGTTCAGGGTGTTGGGCTTGTTGCCTGCTTCATGTCTTTACAGGGCTAGCATTTAACTCCATATTTCTATTTGATTCATCAGTAAATTGTTAAATCACACTGCTGCCTACCTTAGGAGAATCTGTTGAACATGTTTTGATTAGTTCTGTCTTTGGCAACAAAACAAATTTCTCCACTGTAGCTTAATAACTTTGTGGATTGTAGAGAATGCTTCTTCACACATACCGGATGCTGCAACAACCCGTGGATGGTTTCACTGGGACATTTGATCATGTCTGGTCAACAGGCCATGTTGCTATTCCTAAACTAATTGGGGAGGCTGTGAGAGAGAACGTGAGAGAGGCTCATTTTTTCAATGTCCAGACTATTTTATTTTCTAGTCTGATTGCTAGAAAGACCATAAATAGCTGGAAATGCTTTGTAGAAATAATGAGAGCCTATGCATATATTTTCACCCTTTTTATAAGCTTCCTCCAATACAGCTGGAGCATAACTTGTTGCCTTGGAGACTCATATTGAATCTTAGCACTCCATATGACAGTATTGGGAGGTGCCCATGATTTTGTTACGTACGTTACTGAGAAGAAGCCATTTCTTTTCCAGGAAATGTGTTCTTGCTTTCATGAGGATGGATTAGTTACTGGGAGAATTCGTTGTTGTGCAAACCTTCTCCATGTGCTTTGTCTCATACTTATGAGCTAGCTTACCTCTCTGGCTTCCACCATGAAGATGAGGTGGTCCCCATGAACTTAGTAGAAACCTGTGCTTGTGCTACATTCTTGATTTATCTCCTGATTTTTATTAATCAATGTGGTATTAATTTTTTTTAATTAAGGAAAATTTTTCATTCATTCTACACACCGATCAAAGATCCCCCTCTTCCCTCCTGCATTCTCCCCATTTTCTCTCTCCTAAACCCACCCAGACCCCCCCACACAAGAAGGCAAGGCTTCCCATAGGAAGGCACATCCAGTAGAGGCAAGTCCAAGCCCCTCCCCCTGCCTCAAGTTTGCATGAGGTGTCTCATCATAGACAGTGGGCTCCAAAAAGCCCCCTCATATTCCAGGGATAAATTCTGATGCTGAGTTTTAATATTTTTATATTACTAAAAGTCTGTAAATAAAAAGCACTGTGTATTTAACCTGAAGAAATTTGCATGGTCATTGGGACCACTTTGGCTTTTAGGACTCTATGTTCTGAACTTATTGACAACATGCATTCTGGGTTTGTCTTTGTTTTTTCTTGTCAATAGACATCTTCTAAAGAAATTCCTTGTGATGAGAAGCAGTATTTAATTGCATAACAAGTGCCTTTTTTGTTACTAATAGCTGTGGAAAGCAAAGTAAGGATTTGATTCATGATGTTACTTTCAAGGAAATAAACTAGAGTTTTCTAGCCCAGGCTGCCTTGTTAGCCTTTGATGAAATGGGTCCATAAGCATTCCAGTATGGTGTATTTCAGAAGTGGGGAGTACAGCTAGGAGCTGCAAGAGATTGTTGACCTGTCCCTAAACTGATACAGAAAAGCAACACCTGTCACATTTCTCACTCAAGCATTCTTTCTGAAGAGTAAGTCTGTAATCAATTAAGAGCCACCTGACATTCAAAAATGGAATCAGTTAATATTAATTATGGATTCTCTTACTTATCCAAAACAATATTTATTTGATATTGTATAACATTTTTTCAGAGCTTATTTCAAAATTAGTCAAAGGTCACCTTTTTACAAGAAAGGGTTTATATTTATTCTCTTTATATAAAAGTAATAAATTCTCTAATCTTGCTTTTTCAATGCGTGTAATTAAAGTGTTTATATGAAGAAATAAACTTAGCATAAAGGTGCATGCCTTTGGCTCTGAAGATTTCTCTTCTTCATGATGCTCTGATGATGTGTAATGATTGTTTTGCCCTATTGTTTTTACAACTGGATGTTTGCTATTCATCTTTTGTTAAAAGTGTATTTTCTTAATGAAAAATGCATTTTAGCTCTATTCATTAATTTTATTTCATATTCATGTTAATTGTGGGAATTTAATTCTTACATATTTATTGAATACCATAAAGTTGAACAGTAAATTCATTCAAATTAATGTGATGTAAATGTAGTAAGCCAATTTTTGGAACAGGTTGAAAAATTATGTAGATTTGTTTTCAGTGTTCATCTAATATTAACTAATAGATTTTATATTATATTTGTTAGTGTTTATGCACTGGGAATTGTTACAAAGACTAAGATTGTTGGTGAGGACTTTGGTCATTTAAAAAGAGCCTTTCTTATTTTCTCTCTTCTTCCATATTCCACTTTGCAATGAAAATTACAAATTACCACTCATTTTTGTTCATGAAAAAATAATAATGAAGCTAACCATCCCTTGGACTAAATTGTTTCCTAGAATTAGCCCTACATGTTATTAATGTCCTAATAGTGAGACAGATTGCTCTATTAGTTGTACTTAAAAACAAGCAATTTCCTTTTCATTGTTTGCTTAGTGTTGCAGATATAATAGCCTTGGTTATAATCTGTAAGTGGACCACCACTAGCTGACATTTGTTGGGCTCAGAGTAGAAATATTCCAATATGGAAACACAGTAGTTTTTATCCTCTGCTCTTACTGCCTCCAATTTCTCTCTAGGTTCTGTGTATTCTGCAACTAGCTGAACAGGTTAACACTCTTTAAGTCCTTAAGAGATATGGAGCTTGTTTTTTATTTTTATTTTTTCATTATGGGATAGAAGAACTTATGATATTGCATTTTTGTCTGCAATCAGACTAGGCAACTATGGCCTCACAAAGCCATCTTAATACAAATGTAAAGATACATCTACTGCAAGCTCCCTGTGGAAATGTCAAAATCTCACTAAAAAGAAGCCTTAGTCTACTTAGTGAAATCATGTTTGTGTGTTTGTATAAGGTGGTGTACAGGACATTTTGGAGGAAAAGAAGGTTATTTCATGAGACAACATAGCATAATTCCACCCACATTTTATTGTTTCCATACAGTCATTACTATTTCCCTTCCCTTCATAAATGGCGATACAAATATAAAGAAAATAAAAATTGAAGACTACGAACCTATCTGAAGAATTAATCTTTGGAGGTTCAGAAGGAACTTTTAGATACTTGCAAATGATAGAAATTATATTTCACACATTATACTTTTAGGTTTCTCGTCTCTATTGGAAATCTGAGGGTCATATTATTGAACATACACCTTTTTCACTTTGTGAGACTATATAATGTTCTAATAGTCATCATTGTCTCTTTCTACTTCCATACACAGTTCAATATTTTCTAGAAAATATATCCAAAATACAATCTATATGGAATAATATATATTGTTAGAAGTTTCATGCAATGTTGTTGTCTTCTAAATTGGCTGTTGTGATTTCATTTCACTCATTGTCTATGAAAATGCTCATGTTTCTACAACACCAACAAATACATCATTATTATATTTTGCAATTTTGCTAATGTTATGGATGATGAACTGTTACATGATTTTGTTTTTCACTGTTGATGTTTCACAATTATGTTCTGAGTTTTAAATTAGCAGAAGTTACTTTGAAATCATCAAAAATAATATAACTTCTATTGACTGTGACAACTTAGGAAAGTTTTATGGTTTAAATCCAAATGCAGTTGCCTTATTTTAGTCTGGAGTGTGGCTTAGTCATTTATCTTTTATCTCAGCAAATCAGATGTTTGGCCATCTGCATTGGTCTCTCAGCTCATTCTGTTACACAAAACTAGATCTCCAGCATCAAATTCTGGGTTAAAAGAGTAATCTCCTACTGATTTCCTTAAAGTTCTTTTAGAGTTTTGAACAAGTTCTGTGGAAATAGAATATTAGCTTGAGTTTAAAGCAAACAAATATATACCCACATTCCTCTGAAAATATAACAATTATTTAAATTTTTCTTTTATATATTTGTTTTGCAGTTGTCACAGAGAACTTATGAAGGTCAGAGGATCATTTATTAGCGTCTTTTCTTCTCCATATAGATTCTAAAATCTCAGGTCATCATGCTTGGTGGTAAGTACCTTATTTGTTGAGCCATCTAACTGGCCTGAGTCTAGAAACTTGAAGTTATATAGAGACCTCAGTTGGATTTAGAATAGATGTTGAAAGAAGATCTAGCATCACAACTTAGTCAAAAGTTAAACCCTTAGTGCACCTGATTGGAAACTTTGATTACAACTTCAGATTCACATAACAACAGCAGTGAAGTTTAAAGTTCATAAAATAAATCATGTATGATTTATTACAGTAGCTTATAGGTTATGTTCTAGCAATTCCAACAATGGCTGTTTCCCAATGAAAACTCCAAGAATCCAGTAGCTGTTCAGTCCACAAGGCTCTAATAGCAGTGAATAATTAACTTGCCAACAAGATGGAGGGCAGGCTAGCAAAAAGCAAGAATTTCCTTCTTACATGTCCTTTCTGTAGGATGAAACCAGAAGATGTGGTCCAGATTTAAGGTCTATATTCCCACCTTAAAAAAAATCTAGATTTAGGGTAGGCCTTCCAATGCTAAATGATCCAACTAAGACAAATCTTTTACAGCTATATCCAGCTGCCTGGGTTTCATTTAGCTCCTTATGTAGTCAAGTTGACAACCAAGACCAGCCACAACAACCCCCACAATAATAGAAAATATGATTACTAGTACTTTTATGTATCAGAGAGTATTCTATAGGAGAAGTTTTACTATTAGGATACACATATATCTGTCTACACCTCTATACTAACAATCTCTTGCACATAGTTGCATATACTTATGCTTGTATATGTATTAAATAATAAACTTTTTCTTCCAGGAAGTTGACATACACAGTTGTTGTGGCTGGGTAAGATAGAATTCACAGAACTAATATCCTAAAGGAATAATTAAAGGGAACCCTATGGATACAGAGGACTTTGATTACCTCTTCAAATTCACATGATATTTGCACTAAAGTTTTTACTTGATCATAAATCTGAGAGTCGAGCCAAGCCATTTTGACGACTCACATGTCCCTTTGTTTTTGAACCTCATTGTAACTACAAACATGACTATTTTTTTATTCAAACTATTATACACTTTTACAAGGTGATATAAATGGCATATTGTATCTACAATTCTGGGAGCCAAGTAAGAACAAGGAAAAGAAGCCCTCAATTACATTGTGCTTCAAAGGCTAGCAAGGATGGTCCTCATCAATGTAAGGAGAAGCAGTGGTCTTTCAGCAGGTACTATACATGGAAAGCAAAGAGGCTTGAAAAACAATAATTTCTGAACCTAACACTAATAGGAATTATTCCCAGAAGTTATAAGAAGGTTATGTAGTTTCAGGAAAATGCCTTTCCTTGCAAAACTTTAAATGTTCATTTTTTTCAAGCACTCCATGATTGATTTGTAATTTTAATTGACAAAAGAAAAAAAATTTACTCTGTGTATATGATGAATCTTATATTTGATGTGATATTAGATAAATTTATTTTTCCTTAGAAATGATAAAATGTAGTTACAGTGATTTTAGGTTGTATGATGTTTTCATTGGGGAAAACACCACTGGCTTATAGTCACATTTTCTCTACAAGTTACTATCAAATATTTTCAACTAATTTGAGAGAACTTTCTAGAGTGTCACATGACTTGCCCAATTAGTTGTTGGTTATTGTCTTATTGTGTTCTTTTAAAAAAATCTAGCACAGTAGATGGATATTTAAGGCCCCAAATGTTGTGATTTTAATCACTTAGGCTCAAACGTCTTGTTTGTAGAGGAAAAAGGCTGTGAGCAGCACCATTAGAGGAGTGTTTCCCTGTGCTGGTGTGATTTGGATTCCAATACCTGTTTTAATGAGTATGTCATTCCTGCCTTCCACCTGATTAATTAGTAAAGCTTGTAGACTCGTCATTAATTGACACAGATATTCTGTGATATTTGTCAACAAGAAAACTTAACATTTTTCTTGCTGCTCAAATCATTCTAAACTTATATAAGGAAAAAAAATGTAGGTATGCCTGAAATCCAACCAGCTACCTAATTTTCTGTATGTGCCAGTATCCCATAATTTATGTTCCAATGAATTTACTAGGTTGATTGTAATCTTAAGAATTTTAACCCTTGTGAAGTATTCATATAGCTAGAGTGGGAGGGTGGGGATATACATAAAGAGCTTTGTCTGCTCAGCTGTCTGACCAACATCTATTCTGCTCCTGTAAATTCCAGGTATCCTGAAGGATTGCTGGCACAAGAAATAATGTGAGAGGTATGCTTTTTCCTGCAGCCACCTCTCCAGGTTCTCTTGATGTGACAAGTGCCCTCATAGGAGCACTAGAGCTTGTAGCTCAACAGTGCCCTCTCTCCACTCCCAGCACTCACATTCCCTGTTGGGGTCTTTCCGTGTCACAATCCTTGTAGCATTGGTGGATGCTAACTTACGAGATCTCTATGCTCCATCTAACCAGTTAGGAAATACTCTGCTTTCTCTCTCCTACTCATGTTTTTTCACATAAGTGACATGAATGGATGATAAGCTGTTGGCATTTATTATTAAGGACTCAAATAATCAATCTCAGGCATTAAATCTGTTCTATAAATTAAATATTGGGATTTATTAGTAACAGCAATCGTTTTAATTTTTTGTATTTAATTTCAGACAAAAATGGGGAACCAAAGAGGAAAGTTATGCATAGAAAATAATTGGAGCACGCTCATAATTTTTTTTAAAAGAAGGTTATATGCAATGTATAAAAATGAGTTTTAGAACAAATACTTCTCAAAACTCACCTTATTTACAAAAGAAAAGATATATAATATTTTTTAAAACATGGACCATTTCTATAAAAGTAGCAACTTTTTGTGATGATGAGTGTGCTGGGCATGTAGGTATTGTGTGGCCAACTTTCAGGCCCCCATTAAAAAGCAAAGATTAATTCACCCAATAAACAGAAAAACCTATGACAGAGAACTAGAAAAACAGCTTTATTTGCTCTTTCATAATTTTTTACTACCATGTGCTCAGTCTTTCCTTATCTCCTGATTCTCAGATGCTCTTGCTCTCGATTTTACACCTTTTCTTGTAGAATAATATAGATAAGTGCGAAAACATATACTCTAAATTTGATAGTGAAAGATGAAAATCCAATGTAAAACTCCCCAGTTCCATTCTGAACAGCTTACTCTGAGTGTGTGGCCATTTGATTGAGTTGTATAGTCTTAGGGATCAGCTTAATCTGGTTAGTTGAGGTGTGTGATTTTTAAAATTATTTACATTTTTATTTTCATTGTACGTTTAAAATAAATATGTTTTTAAAAAATAAAGTTTACTTTTTAAAGTGAATTCTTTATCAGAGCTCCTCTGATTTGAAACCTTCTTGATGTTGAGCATGGAAAATAGACACTTTTAGAGCATAGTTGTTTTTTTTTATATATATGAGAATAAAATTCCTCTTGTTGGGTACCACACTTAATATACATTCTGTTCCTGGCTACTATTAATAATAGCTATCTTTTACTTCCTTTGTAGGAACTCCATAACAATTTGAGTCAAATCTTCCTTCACAGAGAAAATGGTGTCTAACTTACTGAACCAGAGTTCAGAACAATATTGTTTATAATGAGACATTCTTCTTTATAGAAAGAGACATATGGCCTCTGAACCCCAAATTAAAGGCACCTCTTCTCTGTAATTAGAAGACCAAAATAAAACACAGACTTCATACAGTTTATTTATACATTTACAATTTCTTTTGTAGAGTTGTGAGAACAAACTCCATATGTACCAAATTCTAGCAAAAGTGTGACTTTTTTCAGATTCTTCTCTGTGAACACCTTTGATCTTCTCTGACAATGTAGTCAATGTGCTCTTATGTAGGAAATATTTAGGGTAAAGTGGGGGAGAAAGTCCTCTTTCAGAAGAGTTTACTTAAAAATGAAGCGATTGGCAGGTAGAACTATTAGCATATGGCAAATTAGGCATCCCCTCAGTCCCTCATTCCTTCCATCTCTCTTCACTTTTCTTATTTTTCTTTTTTTCCCCAGGGAACACACTCACAAGTTCCACAGAAAGGACATTGCACTTAAAGCAGTATTTAAGACCATATGAAGAGGTTTGTGAGGGGAAAAAAGTCCTCTAAACAAGAATAGTTGCTTCTTGTTATGTGGCTTACATTAACTGCCCCTTAACAATTAATAGTTAATTGCACTGAAATGATATAAAAGGAGACAGGATTCTTACAAAAAGTAGCAAGCATATATATATTTCTTTAATTTGTAACCAACTAAATAAATGTAACATAGAATAATATTTGATGGCAATCATATGAATACTTAGAGAAGAGGCCCGACAATCAGAGAAAATCATCCCCAAGGGATGATTGTTAAGACAAATGGCAGCACATCTCCAAATCACTATCACACTTACCCAGGTGACACAGGAAATATGAAAACTGATGAAAATATGTATGATTAATCAGAAAGGGAAAATGAAGTCACAGCCTGATACTAGTACGTAAAAATTTTTATATGAGCATACATACAGAAAATATTGGGAATTTATTTGCATTTTTGAATTAGGTTCCAAACATAGAATATTTCTGTGGTTATGTAAGTTATTTAAAACTCTGACATGTATATTCTTGTATTGACATTGATGAAAGCTCTATGGGTTATTCATGTTATGTACATTAATGTCCTTCACACATCCATTCCCAAATCATTTGTACTGATTTCACACAGGGGCACCTGTGGGGTCACTGCAATGGCAGCTGGCCGACACACAGATGCTCAAGCCTTCCATCTCTTTGTGAAGGTTCAAGATTATGGACATTTGTCTTTGACTGAGAACAGTGCTGTGCTCTTTCCTGCCTCTGTCCTGTACAGCTGTTATTATGCAATCAAGTTCTCCTTTTCTGTATTTACACTGAGGGAATTTATCTCCATTTCTTGTCTTCTGACATCCTTCCATCAATCAATCCAATATAAACACATATAGGCACATGAATATGAACACACATGCTCACACTGACATCAAATCTTTTGGGATATAAGTTCAATTCACAGTAACAAAGTAATGTATAATCTCCTTAAGTTTCCATTTTCACTACTCTCGAAAGAAGGTGTGATAAAGCCTCTGCACCAATCACGGTAAATTTTCTCATGATATTTCTTGTGTTATTCCAATTGAAAACATAGATCATATAATTATCTCCCATTAGGTGTTAAATGATTTTGTTGATCAGTCTTTGATTTGGATATACTGTGGCATTCTATAATCTCAGAAGGGTGGATGAGGAGGTAATTCCAGCTCAATATTAGCTACTAAGATATTCATCCTACTGCATGACAGGTTACCTGGCAAGTTACTTCCATGTGTTCATTATTATATTTTACATCATTAATTAATATTATTACATCATAATTAATATTGACATCATAATTAATATTTTCCTTTCTCATTGATATCAGTTTTAATGTGTTTTAAAACACATTTGAATTAAAATATTTTACTTACATATGTATTTATGTACCTGAGTATGTGGGCCCTTGTGGAGACTCTTCTAGGTTCAGTGCTTGGATATCTTCCTCTATCGCCTTCTCACCTTGTTCTGAGACAGTGTGTTTGCCTCAGCCTTGCTATTCTGTGTATATAGGGTTAGGACTTTATATCTACCTGATGAATTGATGTTTTTGTGAAGTGTGCATGTCAGTTTTATTTTCAATACATTTCTCTATTCATTGTCTTTTAGGTGAATGTATACTTGTGTTCATAACATTCACCATTTGATCAGCCAAAAACACATTCTTTTTCTAAAACCAATTCTGAACACTGTAATCTTACACTTGAAGAGGTAATACATATATTCCAAAAATTTGTGATTGTTACAACTGACATAATGCTTATCATTTTAAATAATTTAAATATGCAGTTCAATGGTATTTAAGACATTCATATTTTACTTCCGCTATCTACACCAGTCATCTCTAAACCTTCCGTATTCTCAGAGTGAAGACATATCCATTAAACAACTCCTCATTTCCTCTTCACAGCTCCTGGGGATCATCAATCTTCTTACTGTATGTATAAATTTAACTGTTATTGTTACATCACATAGAGTCATATAAGGTTCATCTTTCTGTGTTTAGATTACTTCAACTGTAATGTTTTTAATGACATTCCATGCTGTAAAATGTGTCACAGTGTCCTTTCCTTTAAGGTCTGAATGATGTACCTTTACATGGATACATAGCTTTACATCTGTACATTCCAATGTCAATACACAATGGGTAACTTTTACCATTTAGCTATTGAGAATGACGCTATTAATACTGCAGGTGTATCAGTAAACCTTTCAGATGCTGTTTTCAATCTGGCAGGGGAAGGGGTGGTGCTATCTGACCAGAAGTAATGCTGTTGAATTATACAGTTGTTTTCTTTTTAATTATTTGAGAAACTGTCAAGTTATTTTTGATAGTGGCTGCAGAATTTGCATTCCTAATCAGAATGTACAAGGGTGCCAGGTTTAATGCTTTTATCTTAATGAAATTAATTACTAAGTTATGAAATTGCTTGAATGTATCTGGCTTCTATTGTAGTCTCTTATTCACCAGTGGGTGATGGTGGGTCTCCCACCCTGAGGTTCTGAGGATGCTCAAATTCATGACACCATACACTATAGTTCACCAGCAGTCTATTAGTCTCAGATATGTACATCTCAGGAGACAGGACAAGGTATACCACACAATATCACTTGAGGGTGCACTTGGAGTAGAACACAATTGAATCACCAGGACATGGGCTTTGCAGTGTCAATAAACTGCACAACCTCTACCACCCAGGAGAAAATGTAGTCACTTTGCCTGAATAATTCCATCACCAGAAAAATGAAACTCATCACTTAGAAATAAGTGGGAAATCTACAGAAAACCAATGGTACAGAAGGTTATCTGAGTAGGAGACTTTATCCAATATAGCATAATCTGAAGAAAATAAAAACCTGGCAATTGAGCAGTATTACTGCTTTCACTAGATATGTTATCACACCCATTAATATCTGTTGAGAATCAATTCAAAGGAGGAAGGGTTTCTTTGTCTCATGGTTTAAAGATACAGACTATCACAGCAGGGAAGGTTTAGGAGCAGGACTGGCTTGAGGATGTGGCAGTAAGATCATGGGGCTGTTTGTGCAAATCTGGGTTGATCAGAAAGCATGGAATGGTCACAAAGAACCAGACATTAAAATTTCAAGTCCTGATGACAGTGAGCAACTTCCTTCAGCAAAAAAGTCATATGGCATCCCTAAAAAGCACCAC